TATATTTTAAATTATAAAGAAAGTTAGTTATTTAATTAATATTATAAATTAATAAATTTATTAAATATATTTTTAAATATTTTAATTATTAAATATATTTATTTAAAAGTAATATTATTAATTTAATAGGGTTTTAATAATATTTTATAAAATATAAAAATTATTTAATAAGTAGCTTTTTTATAAAGTTTAAGTTTTTAAACTTCTTTAAGTTAATTTATAATGTTTATTTTTATTAAATATTATTTAAAATTATAAATAAGTAATGCTTAATAAATAAAAAGGTAAATTATAATTTAGTTAAGCCTTTTAATAAATATTATTTTATAAGTATATTTTATATTAATTAATAAAGCTTTAAGGGTTTTTTTAAATAATAATCTTTTTATTAACTTAAAATATTTAAATTAAATTTTAAAAGTTATTTTAATTTTTATATAATTTAAATTATTTAATAATAATATTTTTAAAATTTTAATTATTATAAAAATTATTAAGCTTAAGTAAGTAGTTATTATTTAATAAATTTTAATACCCTTAATTATAATTATATAGCTAATTTTTTTTATTATTTTTTAATTAATATTTTAAGTAAATATAATAATTATTTAATTAAGGAGTTTTTATTATTAAGTTTTTATTTTATAATTTTTTAATTAAAAGGGCTTTATTAATAAAAAAGATATTTTTTTAATTAAATATTTTAAATAAAATTAAGTTTATTACTTAGCTTAGTTTTATATTAAATAATTATAAAAAATATAATAATTTAGCTTTAATAAGTTTATAAATATTTTAATTAGCTTTAGGGCTAGCTTAATTAATTTAAAAAACTTAAGATAATATTATTTATATAATTATTTATTAATTTAATTTTATTTTTTTTAAAAAGTTTTATATTTTATAAAAATAAAAATATTTCTTAATTAAATTAAGAATTATAAATTTTAAGGTTTTATAAAGAATTAAAAAAGGCTTTATATAAGTATATATAATGCTAATACTTTAAGTTTTCTTATAATTTTTTAAGTTTAAATATAAGAATTAAAATTTTAAATATAACTTAAGTATTAAACTTAATTTTAAGGAATTTTAAAAATTTTTAATAAGCTTTATAATTTTAATTTTTTCTTAAGTTTTCTTAATTATATAATAAAGATATTAATTTATAAAATATAAGTTTTATATATTATAAGCTAATAAAATATAATATATATAACTTAATAATTAAAAATAGCGTTTAATTAATACTTTATAATTTAAATAAATAATAGCTTATTAAAGTTTATATAAAAACTTAATATATTTTAATTAAAATTAATTTAAATAAATTTTATTTAATAATTTTTAATAAATAGCTAAGCTTTTATACTTTATTAATTAATATAATTAATAATAATAATTATAATTATTATTTAAATTTATATTTATTAAATATTAAATTTAAAGATTATTTTAAAATACTTTTAAGGGAATTAAGCTTAATGCTTAATTTCTTAAAATTAAAATATTTCTTTTTATTATTATTTAATTTTTAATTACTTTAAATTAAAGATTTTATAATTTTAATAAATTATATATAATAATATAGTAATTATAAAGAATTTATTAAATAATAAATATTATTATAATATTTAATAAACTTTGCATTTCTTTAAATATAATAAGTAAAAAAATATTTACTTATTTAAAAATTATTATTTATAATTAAAATAATTATTAATATTTTTTTATTAATTAAAAGTTAAAAAATAATAATAGAAATATAAAAGGAAATTATATATTAAGTTTATATTTTATTTATAATATATTTATTATAAATTTATAATAAGCCTTATTTTTTCTTAATAATTTAAAAAAGCTTAAGTTAATATTTATTTAACTTATTAATTATTAAGAATTTTATAACTTAATTTATAAATATTATAATATTATAATAATAATAATTATAATTTACTTAATTTTTTTATAAGGTAATTATATAGCTAAGGCATATAGTTATAACTATTATAATAATGAAAATAAAGGTTTAAAATTTAATATTTTCTATGAGTTTAAGGTAAATTTGCAGGGAATTTCTTTATTTAAGTATATATACGGTGAATTCACCGTGAAACCATATATTTACAATGAATTTATTATAAATATATCGTGAATTTATAAGTGCTTATAAATTCACGGCAAATTCACCGCAGATTTACCGTAACCTATTCATATTACATCGTTATTTTTAGCTTAAAATAAAAAAGCCCTTATTAATATTAAACTTATATATAAGCAAAGGCTTATTATATTTATAAAAGATATAAATAGTGCTTAAAAAGTATAGGATATACTTAAATCTTATTATAAACTCTTTAAGTTTATAAGTTAATATTTACTTTATAAAGAGTCTTTTAATATTAATCTTAATAATTTTAAGATTATAAAAAAATATATTAATAAGTTAAAGCTTTTTTTTAAAAGATTTAAAGGCTAATAATATAATTCTTTTTAAATAAATTATAATTAGCTAAATTTTTTATAATTTAAATAATAAATATATTAGCTTTATTTAAAATATAACTTAAAATCTTAAAAAAGATTTAAATGCTTATATAATTAAATTTCTCTTTTTTAGCTTATTAAATAAAAATAAAAGGAAACCCTTTAAATTATTTAAAAAAGCTTTATATATAAAGGGTAAGAAAAATAAGAAAAAGATTATTATATGCCTTAATTATAAAATAAAGGGGTATACTTAAGAAAATTGCTATTTCCTTTATTTAAATAAGGTACTTATTAGCTGGAAAATAAATAAATAAAAAAAGGAAAAATTAAGTTTTTTAAGGAAGAATATAAGCTAAGAAAAATGGGAGAAAATATAAGAGCAATTCTTAGCTTTATTAGCTAGTATAAAGTTTCCTATGGCTTTAAAAGGCGCTTAGGAAGAACTTATAGCTTATATAGCTATAAATAATTTAATAGAAAATATTAAATATAATAAGAATTTATTAAATTTCTTATAACTTTTTTTTAATAACTTAATGGAAATTAAGGTAAATAACCTTATATATACACTATATATATAATAATAATAGTAGCTAATAATAATAAATTTATAAGAAATTAATAATATATAGATTTCATAAAAATAGCTATAAATATTACTATAAATATAATAAATTTTAAAAATATATATCTTTTTAATATTATATATATAATTAATAAAATTATAAAATAAGGTAATATAGGTATTATATTTATAAATAAAATAAGGGATTTAATAATTAAGTTTTTAGAAATAAATATTATAAAAAGACTTTTTAATATATATTATATACATTTTTTAAGTTTAAATATACTTAAATATAAATACATAAGTAATAAAATTAAATTAAAATTAAAAGGAGATATTATTAAATTATATTTTTAAGAAATAAATAAGTTAATAACTTAAGAATATTAAAAAGATAACTTATATTTTATAAGAATTAATATAATAAAATAAATAAATAAGTTTAAATATATTTTTTAAAAAATATATATAATTTAATAAAATTTAAATATAAATAATAACAATAAAAAAGAAATATATAAATAGCATTATAAATTAAGCTATATAAATATTTAAGCTTTAGAAATATTTTTTTAAAAATACAAAATAAATATATTAATAAATAAACTTATTTAAAAATATATAAGTAATTATAAAGTATGCTTAAAAGCTAAGTATATAATTAAAATAAATAAAATTAGCTTAAATAATTAAATATATAATATACTTAAAAAAGTATATAGTAATATAAGTAATTTCTTAAAACCTATATATAATAAATATAAATATTATATATTATTTCTTAATAAAAAAACTTAATATTTAAAAGTTTCTTTGCTTAAAAATAAAGATAAAGCATTAAAAGCTTTTAATAATTATAAAAATAAGGCAGAAAATAAATATAATAAAAAAATAAAAGAATTCTTTATTAATAATAAAGGCAAATATATAAATAAAAGATTTAAAACCTTATTAAATAAATACTTTATAAATTACTATATAACGCCCTTATATATAAAAAAATTAAATACCTTAATAGAAAGATTAAATTTAATTATAATGAATAAAGTAAGAAGCTTTTTATATATAGTAAATTTATTTATATATTTATAAGGAGAAGCAATAAAATATGCTATATATTTATATAATATTACACTTTATAAAAACTTAAGGTATAAGTACCCTTATAAAGTAATAAATAAAAAGAAGCCTTATATAAATAACTTAAAAATATAAGGATTTATTATATATTTTTAAAATAATAATTATAAAACTAAATTAAAACCCAGAAATAAAAAGGGTATATTATTAAATATAATTCTAAAATTAAATATATATTAAGTATGGAATATAAATAATAAAAAGCTTATATTAATTCAAGATATTTAAATATTAAAAGGGCAATATATAAATAATAACGATATTAATATTAATAATAATAATAATAATAATAACGATAATATATATATATTCCTAAAATTATAAGAATAAAGGGAAGAAAACTCCCCTTTTATTTTAAATGAAATAATAGTTTAACGGAATTTAAAAAACTATATATATACTATATAAAATATACTATTAAATAACTAAATATTTATATTAAATACCTAAGAAAATATATTAAAATACTGCTTAATTATAGCTAATATTAATAAACCTTTTTCTTTAAAAAAGGTATTAAATAACTTAAAAAAACCCCTATGGATTAAATTTATGCTAAATAAAATATATAATTTATAAGAATAAAATACTTATATAATAATGGATTTACTACTTAGCTATATAGCTTTAAAGGGAAAATAAGTATATAAAAAGAAATTTATAAATAACCTAGCTATTATAAAGCTTAGTTAAGTAATAAATAATAAGAATAATATTAAATTTAAATTTAAATAGGTTATTTAGGAATATAATTAAAAATTAAGCATAAACTATTTAAAGACTTTTTTTATAGTTTACTGCCCTAAAACCTATATTATGCTATTAATAATAATAATAAATAAAGGATATTATATATATAGTTATAATGTTAAAAATACGTTTTTATACTTTAATATTAATTTTAAAATATATATAAAATTACCTATATATATATATAATAAATTAAAATATAAAAATAAAGTTGCAAAATTAAATAAAGCTTTATATGAGCTAAAATAATTACTTATGCTTTAGTATAAATACTTAAAAAATATATTAATTAAGCTAGGATTTATTATTTGCCTATATAATGAAGGGGTATTTATATATCTTAATAAATAAGTTATATTTATATATTATGTAAACGATATTATTGTTATAGGACTTAATAATAATAATATAAATTTAATAATTAATAAATTATATAAAAATATAAAATTAAATTTTTAAGGAGATTTAATAGATTTCCTTAAAAGCGATATATATATAAATAGAGAAGATAAATAAATAATTATAAACTAAAATAAATATATGGATAAAATATTAAAAAGATTTAATATAAAAGAAAAGGTTAAGAAAAAGAAAATAATCCCTTAACTTATATTATATACTCTTAATAGAAAATTAAAAAAATATATTAACTAAGCTAATAAAAATACTATAAAATTATATTAATAATAAATAGGGTTTATATTATATGCTAGCTTAAAAACAAGGCTAAATTTAACTTATTTTATAAATAAGTTAACTAAATATATAGCAAATCTAGGGCCAAAGCATATAAAAGAATTAAATAAAATATAGGGATATATATATAAATTCCCATATATATTTAAAGTATATAATTACTTTGGAAATAATTTATAATTAATAGGCTATATAGATTTAAACTAGGGTAATAATATATTTATTGGAAAAAGCACCTTAAGTTATATATTTAGCTTATATAATATTAATAATAATAATAATAATAATAAAATAAATCTTATAAGCTGGAATTCTTAGCTATAAAAAATATTAGCATTTTCCTTTATGGAAGCAAAATATATGATATTAAGAGAAGCTATAAAAGAAGCTAAATATTTATATAATTTACTTAAATATTTTAATAATAATTTAAATATTGGCTTTAATTTTAAGCTCCTTATTATATATATAAATAATAATGGGGTTAAGAAATTAGCTAAAAATACTTTATTTTATAAAAGAATTAAATATATAAATATTATATATTATTATATAAGAGAAGCAATAGAAAATAATAAAGTAATATTAAAATATATAGATTTTAAGTAGAATTTAGTAGATTAGCTTATAAAATTAATAAATAGATTATATTATAAAGAGTTTAAAGAAAAGTATAGTTTAATAAAAAAATAATATAAATATTAAGCTAGAGAATAAAGAGATTTTCCACTTATATTATAATGCATGTAAAATAAATTAAGGTATTTATTTTTTAATAATTAGGGTTAAGATTTTTTCCTTTACTTATAAAATATATAAATAAATAAAGCAAACTTGATTATATATATATATAATATTACCTTAAATACTGGAGGTTTTCCCTTAAAAGAAATAATTAAAAATAATAAAGGTTTTTCCTGAAAAATAAGCGTTATTTATACGGCTTATATATACTATATATATATATATAATTATAATATATTTATATTGCGTTTATATATATTTAATTTTATATAGAAAACGTATTTTTATAGTGTATATAATATAAATAAAATGATGTGTGACTTTAATGTGTAAAAATGCCGTAATATACCGTAGCTATTATAAAATAACTAGTAAATCCTATATAAAGCTATAATTTGATATGTAATACTTTATTAGCTATAAGTTTAAGTTTAAGTAATAATAAATTTTTAAGTTTTTTGCCTAAATATATAAATACTTAATAAGTAAGTTTTTTCCTTTTTATAAGGTTTTCTTATTATATAACTAAATATTCCTTTTTTATAAATTAAATTCCTTATATATAATAAATAAATAAATAAAAGGGAATTAGTTTAAGGGGGGCTATTGGAATATTCTAGATATTTAGGCTATTATTAATATGGGATATCCTTTTCCCTATATGTTTGTCACTGTATGGAGGATAATAACTATAAATAGGGGCCTTCCCTCCCGTTGAATAGACGTTAGCTAGCCTAAAAGACTAAGCATCCAACGCTATTATTTGACAGGACGTTGGCTGAGGACGGATCCCAGCGAATCGTCACTGGTACAGACGTGAGAAGACAATCGTCTGTGTTGTCCTTGGACCTGACTGAATCCGTCGTATTGTTTGGGTGAAGGATGGCGATGCTACCACCGCAGGCAAACAGGGCCTCATCGTGCTGCTTCCCTGCAAGTCTCTTGAGATGGCTTAGTAAGTCAGCGGTCTCGGCGTTCAGTGCCGGCTTGTAAACAGTTTTTGGGGGCATGGTTGCAAGTAGTAATGGTGTGCTATCCACGGTGAGGTATCAGAAAGGCAATATGGTAACTACAAAGCGGGTGACGATAGCCTTTGATTAGGGGACGATGTGAAGTGAAACGAGCCACTGCCCTGCGTTCTGAGACGGATGAGAATGAAAAGAGAAAGAATGGGAGAGACGTAGTCGCCTCAGACTCCAGCTATATATACTGATGGGAGCTCTTGCCGGAATACTGACTGCAGTTACTGGCGACAGTGAGTTGTGAACAGCTTTTCCCAGAGTCGACTGCCTATATTCACAAAAAGTGCACGGGAAGGCCGCCACAGAGCCAACATAGATGTTATACTATTACCTGTTAAAGTTCCGTGGGACGTGGTGTTGGCCAGGCAGAAGCTTACAAAAAGCCATGTGCCCCCTGCCTGCCTCTGTCCAACTTCCTCACATCCCCACAAACTTGCTAGGACCAATCCCACCCGCTTAATGGTCATTGGGTGAAATACTGCTTCTGCTAGGCAGATCTGGTGGTGCTGCCTGTTGGTAGCTGCTGGCCGAAGACAAGCATCACGCGGACTAGAAAGAGGTGGCTGGCAAGGGTGAGGGTAGCCCCCCCCCCCTTAAGGAGGCCAAGTCTTGTCCTAACCCTGAGCGAACGCATCACGGAGCTCTTTTTTTTCTCTTTTTTTTTTTAAGGGTCATGATCTTGTGTTAAGTCTGAACGGCCGATTTGTATACATGATCCTCGTTCAAAACAACGAAAGATTGTCCAAAAGACATAGGCCTTGCCTTCCGCGTTAATTCCCGGTGATACTCTGCAAGGCATTGTTTACCAGCGCATAGTTAGGTAAGCACAAATATTGGATGCTGCCTAGGGTGGTAAGACGAGACTGCTCGACTACAGAGGCGCCAACGTTACCACGCTCTCAGTTCTGGTTAGACTCGCCGTCGTGCTCTCTGGAAAAGCAGTCGAAGCACCGCTGGGAGGAATTGTAATTCTCGTGGTGGCGATGAGGAGTCTGTTCGCGGTGGCCGTAACAACGATCTTCTTCTTCTCCTCAAGTGCTTCCATCCACAACCTTACCTAGGTACCCTCCATATCTCCCACAATGCGCACTTGGAATTGCGGATCCTCCTCATAGGTGAGGTGACACATCCGCCCGCCGACCACATTGCCATCATTGTGGACGAAGAGGAGGTTCTTATAGTCGAGATTCAAATCTGGGTGCAGCGAGCTGTCGCCTTGTGAGGCACTCAAATCGACATGGCAGACTTTGGCAGTATTTTCATCGCTGGTACTATTATCCCCAACAATATGCCAGGTTGAAGTTGTAATGGGCGACTACCCCAATCCGCCGTCGGGGATGAGCCGGATCAATGGGTCTGTCGTGGCCAGCCATGGGCGGCACTATACATGCTTGGAAACATAACCATGTCAAAATCACACTAATACTCAGAAGTTCTAAGGGAGGAACTTATGAGCCATCATTGAGAACAGGAAAGCTATGATTGGTAGTCATGGTTTTCTCGACGGCACCAGGCCTCCTTGTATACATGAAGGAGGCAAAGCATCGCGAGCCAGGTGTCTGTGAGTCGAAACCGTAGGCATCTATGAATTGCTTGCCTCTTCGCGATCCTCGGCTCCCTGGAAGTGGTCGAATGTCCTCTCCTCAGAGTCAGTCATAGGACAGCCAGAGCTTGCCCAGGTATATACCTAAGGTGGGAGGTGATGATAATATTCTAATCTTACATCTACTAAACAGGAGGGATAACTATAGAGGTAGAAAATCAGGACAGGATGGCAAAGTGACACACCCCTTGGACCTTTTGTCCCAATCTTTACGGTATGTTCTCGACAGAGATTTTGTATACCAGCCCTTAGGTGTAGGGTCCACGGGTCTCTGTCCCCCTCGCAGCGACCTTGTCGGGCATCTTTCTGCAACTGATAAGAACAAAAAGGTGCGGTCTGCAGAGGCAGGCTAATCTATATGGATTATGAACTCCGGGTCCACATGCTATGCTGATGGTGGGTGGGTTAGGGTCGCTGTAGTGACGGGGTGGATCAAGAAAATTACATGCAACGCGCTTAAACACTCTGCCCCGGGAGCAAAGTTTGGGTAGTTCCCGGCGAGAATTGCCCTGCGGTGCAAAACTCGGCGCTAAAGTTTTTCAAGACTGTTGCCGCTAATGCGGCAAGACGTGGTGGGCGGGCAGGACCCTGAAGTGAAAAGAAAAAAAATATAAACGGGCAAAAAGTGACCCAGGTGGCGAGCAGATGTGTGGAACCTCTTGACATCACTCCACCGGTCGGGCATGGATGCGGGCGCCTGTCGCCCCACGATGGCTTCATCGGGCTGCCCGCCCCCCACGGCTGCAGTATAAACGCGCCTCTGCTGCTGCGTTGTAGTGGGAGGAGGGGCACATCGCGGATTCTGACCTCGACAACAAAGAACCCCCTGTTTATGTTCTCAAGATGGGCAAGAACCACGAAGTCGAATACGACAGCCGCGCCTCTCACGACGGCGGTGATGGCGCATCTCTTGGCCGCCGGACGTCCGCCCTCGAGGAGGTGCCCACCCTCGTGCCTCCGCCCGGGTTTCCAGGCCTGCCGGTCCGCCGGCGGAGTACCGCATCTCGGCACAGTGTGACCTTCTCGGAGGACGCGAGGCGGCACTCGCACGCGGTGGAGGATGACGACGACGGCGAGGCCCTCGAGGCCCTCACGCAGAGCGCCTCGGCCATCAGCCGCCAGATCTCGCGCCGGCGCGAGTCGTCCGACAACGTCTTCGAGCTGCCCATGATCCAGCGGCCCCGCGCCGCCAAGCCAGGACTACCCAGCACCATCCGCGAGGTTCCGTCCAACCTGCCCACGCCGTCGTCAACACGCCCCCCGTCCCCGACGACGCCGTCCGGTCGCCTCGCCGGGTCGACAGACTACTTTGGCCACGGCACCGCCACAGCCACAGGCACCAGCAGCACCGCGCCGTCGTCGCCCCAGAGCGACGCCGCGTACGAGACGGGCGCCGGGCAGCAGGCGTACCCGGACATCGGCGTCATCAGGTCCTGGCGCGGCGCCATGATCCTGTGCTGCACCTGCGGCGCGCAGCTGATGGACAATGTTTTCATGACGGGCGTTAATATCGCCCTGCCGGCCATCCAGAAGGACTTTGGCGTCGGCGGCTCCGACCTGCAGTGGCTCATCTCGGCCTACACACTGACTTTTGGCGGTTTCCTCCTGCTCGCGGGCGTCCTATCAGACCGGTACGGACGCAAGATGATATTCTGCGCCGGCATGGCCACCTTGAGTGCCTGGACACTTGCGGACGGCTTTGCTCCCAACTTCATTTCGCTGGCCATTTTCAGGGCACTGCAAGGAGTCGGGGCGGCCATGACTGTTCCGAGTGCCGTCGGCATCATATCCAACTACTTCGTCAGCAGCGACCGCACCCTCGCACTGACCATATTCGGCGCATCTGGTGCGGTCGGCTTCTGCCTCGGCCTCGTCTTCGGCGGGTTCCTCACCTCCAGCTTGGGGTGGAGGTACATCTTCTACCTCGCCGTCGTCTTCACCGGCGTCATCGGCGTCCTGGGCACGTTCTGCCTCCCCAAGGACAGGATGGAGGGCCACGCCCGCCCCAAGCTCGACTTCGTCGGCGCCGGCCTCTCGACGGCGGGGCTCATCCTGCTGAGCTTCGTCCTGTCCAGCGGCGGCGAGTACGGCTGGGGCAAGGCCTTCATCATCGTGCTGCTGGTCCTCAGCGTCGCCATGATCGTCGCCTTCACCTACGTCGAGAAGAAGGTCCCCAACCCAATCATGCCCTTGTCACTTTGGAAGCTGGAGAACTTCGCGGCGTTGTGGATCGGCGGCTTCGTAATGTACGGCGGCTACCAGACGACAGTCTACTTCGTCACCCTCATGGCCCAGGAGATCAACCACCTCAGCGCGGGCCAGACGGCCCTGCGCTTCCTGCCCATGGGCTGCACGGGGTTTGTGTTCAGCCTGGGCATGTCGCGCGCCCTCGAGGTCTGCAACACAAAGTGGCTGCTCGTCGCCGGCATGGTCGTCTGCGCCCTGTCGCCCGTCCCGGGGGCCCTCATGTCCGACGGCGGCGACATCAGCTTCTGGAGGAACGTCTTCCCCACCACCATCCTGAGCGTCGCCGGCGTCACCATCGTCTACTGCACCATCACGGTCGTCCTGCTGGCATCGGTGCCCGTCAACGTGCAGAGCATGTGCGGCGGCATGATCAACACCGCTTTTCAGATCGGGAGCGGTGTCGGGCTGGCGCTGGCGAGTGCTGTGGTGCAGGCTGTTGACACGGCAAAGGGGCACTCGGCGCTGCTGCAGTACAAGACGGGGCTGTGGTGCTGCGTTGGGCTGGCTGGTGTTGGACTGGTTGCGAGTGTGTTTGGTGTCAAGGATAGAGGGAAGTCCGTGGGAGGCCATGTTATGATGCATTGATGCTTCTTTGGGAGTGAGCTTCGCACGAGGTTAATGAGACTACGATGAAGGACTACATAATAATTTTGCAAGCGCGGGTGGATTTTTCATCTCCAATATAGATGGTATGGATTGGCATGCGAATAGATTTATAGATGGGCTGCATGACAACAGAAGGATTGACAATACTCGTGGTCATGATTTGACTGCCTGACATAATTCTAACAATTAGGACTGCTGCCATGACAAGTGCTCGCTAGACAGTTGGAGGCGTATCTCGGGAGGAATTCCGTCCCAATGTAAATGCGTCTATGCCCCGTTCTGGACTGCAGGCGGCTTGTAGTACTGTGTGAAATCATGCATGACAGTAAGCAAGCCCTGGGTATTGTCAGCTCGAGATGGAAGACAATTGCCTCGTCTCTTCAAACGCATGGCCTATTGGATGGGACTCACCTTTTTCATCTCTTCTGCAAACTCCTCGTCCTTGTTTGCCCTCTCTACCGCCTGGAAGAACGGGTCTGCCTTGATAGCCTCCGGGCTGGGATCCCACACCCTGCGGATGTTGCTTGAGGAAATTGGATTGATGATGTCGTTGTACTTTTGGATCCGGACCTCAGAGTACTTATCCAGGATACTGTCGTCGAGCTGGCCCGTGGCTATGCCGTACAGACAATCGAAGAGATTGCCTGCGTCAACTAGGCCTCCAGTGAGACCCATGCCGCCGCTACAGATAAAGACATCAGCGACATCATCCACCTGACCAGAAACATGGGATGAAGGACCACTTACAAAGGGTTGCATACGTGAGCCGCATCAGCAGCGAGACAGACACGCCCCACCCGGAACTTCTCGGCGCAGCGCTGGTGGATCTTGTACGGGCTGAAGTTGACGACTTTATACTCATCCGGCTCCGGCGCCCCGGGCACAAACTGCTTGAACTTCCACGGCAGCCGCTCCTGCATCTGCTCCCTCGTCAGACCCGCGTCCTCGCCGTACGTGATTCGCAGCAGGCCGTCGTTGGCCAGCTGCGCGATCATCGGGAAGTGGTCCGGGTGGATCATGAAGGTCGACGAAGTCCACTTGTAGTCCTTGAACTTGGGGTAGTACACCTGCGCAGGGATCAGCCAGGGCGCCCTTGAGATAATACGTGATTCATAGTGGGGGGGGGGGGGGGAGCTCACGTTTGTGGCGACAATCTGCTTGTCCCATGTGAAGCCCGGGAATTCGCTGCCGAACAGCTCGCGACGGACTTTGCTGGGCGCGCCGTCACACCCGACAATATAATCCGCCTCGAGCCTCTTCTCACCTTGCGGCGTTTTCACATTCACCCAAGCCTTGTCCTCGTCCTGGCCAACAGACAAGACCTCGTGGCTAAGCAGCACCTTCCCGCTCGGGTGTCGCGCGAGATGGTCATTCATCAGCGGCAGCAGCTCGTCCAAGGGCAAAGATATGTTGGTCTCCCCCCCTGGTGGATTATCTGCCAGGAGGGTGCAGACCTGCTCGAATGTCTTCTCCCCGCCGACCTCGAGGATCCGCCAGCTCACGCCGTCCGGGATGAAGGCGTTCTTCATGATGTCCTCCATCAGCCCCGCGCGCCGCAGCTCGTAGATTGTTGGTGAGTTGTAGAAGCTGGCGCGGGGGTTGCGGTCTATCTCGTCCCCTTTCTCAACAACGGTGACCGAGATGCCCTTCTGTGCCAGCATCAGGGCAAGGAGGAGGCCGGCCGGCCCTGCGCCGACGATGATCACCTTTTGTGACATCAGCATGCCATTTGCATGTCGACTGAGGACATGAAAACTCACATTGAATCCTTCCTTAACCTTTGCCATCTCGAGTGTGTGGATTTGGAGTGTGGTACAATGTTTACAGGTTGCTACGCAAACAGACTAAACGTTCTACCGGCGAGTATTGAATAACCCAAATCAAGCTCGCGCGAGACTTCGGCATCAAGTTATTTGGCCGAAACCCGGTAGCACCCACTCCCCTCTGTTTCATGCACTTGTAGCATTCACGTGCCCGTAAATGCATAGCTGCTTAAATCCGTCCTACGTCAATGAACTATTTCTAGGGGGGCGGTAGTTGTGGAGATTGCGGGGAAAACAGAGTTCCGTAGGGGGGTTCCCCATGGGGTTGCGGATGAACTATTTTCTGATGCACACGTCTGCGGGGAGCTCTCTGCTCCTGACAAGTCTTGGAGGGCAGCGAGGTCGATGCCTCGTTACAGATCCCTCATCGGGTTGCGTATCCAAGGGTCATCTGTGTAATGAGTATTCTCAAGGCGGCAGCAGATATATTGGTTCTGTGGCACAGATATATTGGTTCTGTGGCACGTCTACATCAGAAATACTCTGACATAAATCCAATTGCACGTGAGCTTAGGAAAATGCTCCGGTCTGCAAGACATTCTACTGAGGCTAATAATAATCCGATCAATGCTACCTCGTTTTATCTCAATAACATTTCACCGGATCTCGGCTTCGAGACTACCAAGACTGCTGCAAACACTCATCGGATTGTCGAGAGACCCCGAGGGTTTCAAATACCGAGGCTTGAGAAGACAAGTCAGAAATCTGTCATCAGGTGGCATACAGACCTCGCCAATTCGAGACGTAGTATGGAGGGGTCTGCTGCATGGATACGCTGAGCTGATCCTGACCAATTGCCACTCGCGAAGTTAATCTCCTCCTCCCGCTCAAGCTCGATCTAAGCCAAGAGTTTCCGAGGCCCGTGGGGAGGAGACCGACTGACACATTTGGGTACCGACGACATCTGCTACTCGCGTACGCAAACATCTACAGAAAGCAATATCGTCAGAAGAGATATACTCAACACAAGTACAACGGCGCATACCTAGATACTGTCTACACCCATATTCGTCACAACATCTTCGGACAAAATGGTTGCACAGACAGAACCCCGATACGCGGACCCCATCTACCAGACGGCCCACGACAACACCTACAATAAGCCGATCATCCAGGGCATCCCTGACGTACTGCCACCGGGCGTATCTCAAAATGACTTCGACAGCGCGCTCAAGCAGATCGCCGCATCCCTCGGGGAGGATTCCGTTTTCCGAGGCGAGAGGCTGAAGGAATACGTAGATCCATACGAGATCCCCGAGGGAGGCCATGAGAGGAAGGTTCCCGGGGCTGCCGTCTGGTGAGCATATTTGTCCGATGAATGCACGACGAACAGGATTTCTGACTGAAAACCACACAGTCCGTCCTCTGTCGAGGAGCTGCAGGCTGCTCTCAAGGTGGTCAATGAGTTCAAGATCCCGGTGTGGACTGTGTCCCGCGGCAAGAACCTGGGGTGAGTTAGAACCGTGGTCAAGTAATCGTGGGTCCTCGCTGAATCGAAGACAGATATGGAGGGCCTGCGCCCGTCGTGAACGGATCCTTCGTCATGGATCTCCACAGGATGAACAAAGTCCTCGAGGTCAACGAGAAATTCTCCTACGCGGTAGTGGAGCCAGGGGTCACATTTGGTGACCTGTATTCCTACTGCGTCCAGAAGAATCTCAAGGTCTGGCCCAGCACCGCCTCTCTCGGCTGGGGCAGCGTGGTTGGCAATGTAAGCATTCCAGGCATCGTCTTTTCTTTTTGGAAGAGTTCTTCTAATCCTCTCTAGACCCTGGATAGGGGAATGGGTTTCATTCCCTCTGGTATCCACCACGAGAACATCGCTGGGCTCGAGGTAGTCCTTGCCAACGGAGATGTCGTTCGCACCGGCCAGTTCGCGATGACCTCTTCGCCATCCGCCCACCTGACCCACCTCAGCTTCGGGCCCTCTATTGATGGGCTCTTCCTCCAGAGCAATCTGGGCATCGTGACCAAGTTGGGAATCCATATGACGCCGCAGCCTCAAGCGTACATGCCATGCACTTTCGACATGCCTGACTTTGATGACATCGAGACCAGTAAGTGACTTATTTTCCTCTTACCTGAACACTTTCAAAGGCGGAGCGTGAGATAATGGCTTTCCCGAGAATTTTAACATCTGCCTTAACAACCGCTTCCCGATCCCTTTCGTCTGTATGACGGGGCCAGCCTACTGACAGACCCCAGTAACCGACGTATTCGGGGAGATGCGTCGCAACAAGACCCTCCCAACAATAGTCTACGTCTTCAGCCTGATCGAGTGGTCCGCCATCTTCGGCCCGCGGCACAAGTACTGGGAGGGCGACGGGCCCATCCCGGACTGGAAGATCAAGGAGATGCAGGAGGAGCTCGACACGGGGTTCTGGACCGTCAAGTGGGGCTTCTACGGGCCCAAGGACGTCCTCCAGGCGCAGTACAACGAGGTGCAGCGCGTCGTGTCCAGGGCGGCGCCCAAGGGCCGCCTGCGGAACACGCTCTTCTCGGGCGGCGACGAGGCCCAGCTCCTCGAGGCGGCGTCGGTGCCGCAGCCCTACGGGGGCATGTTCGTCGGCGTCCCCAGCATGTTCTCCATCCCCATGGTGGACTTCTACAACCCCAAGGAGGGCGGCGGCGTCGGCGCCCACGGCGCGTACTCGCCCATCGTCCCGCTGGACGGCAAGACGATGAAGAAGTGGGTCACGGCGGCGAGGAAGGTCTACGAGTCCCAGGGCCTGGACCTGTGCTGCGACTACTTCATGCACGAGCGCCACGCCGTCTTCGTCTGCATGCTGTGCTTCGACAAGACCAGCTCCAAGCAGCGCCAGGCCATTGAGAATGTGTTCAACGGGCTCTTCGAGGAGGGGTCGAAGATGGGGTTCGCGAAGTACCGCTCTCACATCGCGCACATGGGTGAGGCCCGAATGATTCGACAAATGCCGGGGCATAATGCTGACCCAAACCAGACCAGGTTGCCGAGCTTTTCGACTTCAACAATCACGCGTATCGCAGATTCGTGGAGACCATCAAGGTGAGATTTTCCCGATGAATGACACATGTACCTGGAGCTTCGGGACACGGCTAACCAGAGACAATGCCACAGGACTCGCTTGATCCCAACGGTGTTCTGTCACCAGGCAAGATGGGTATCTGGCCGAAGAGGTTTAGAGATCAGAAGTGGAACGTGGAGAAAAATCGCAGCGAGGCCAGACTGTGAAGAGGATCGCAGATAAGTTCGCCAATGGCAAAACGATATTTGAAATATGCGCCAGGGAGGATCTTTGATGGCGTACATGAATACAAACTGTAAACCCGGATTAAGTCAGCTGCCGAGCCTAAGTGTGTGGCGATTTGCCTCAACTCAAGATGACCCGGTAGAACCTACAGCAGTAACCAATGTTACGGAGCATTTATACTATGTACGGCAGCTGACATGAAGGTTATATCATTTCTAGCGAAGCTTATGAATTTGGATCTGTTTGTGTTGTGTCTAAGCTGACTACTGTTGAATGTACATTGCGACAGAGGTTGAATTCGCATTGGATTTCCGATAGCGATCAACTCCACGAGAGAAAGGACCACCTCAAACGATGTTCCCGCGTTTAATCTGAATTAGTGTTCGCGGACATCCGTACAGCTTACACAGTGACGGTAGGATATGGGGCAGTGCTGCGAAGAGGCCCATGGTGCACCCGTGGCCCAGCTGCGGCTGGACACCTAAATACTCCAAGGGCGGCGCGCGGGCGGTCCAAACGTGCGTCGGATGTCCGCGCCCCATTCACAAGGCGACGTATCTCGACCAGCTGATGGGCTCGTTCTGCTTTGCGAGCTCTCGTGACCCGGAGGGGTTCCAAGTAGGCCTTCGTTCCGGGTTGCGTGGCGAACCCACAGACGCCTCGACAGCTTTTGATTCCCGACGTGATGCCCGATAGGCGCAAGACTGTGGTTTTTGTGGGTAAGCCCCGACGAATAGTCCAATCTTACCCAGTCACTCGTTAAGGTTTATGTTTGTTTGAGGTCTCATGATCGTTGGTGATGTGTGACTCTGGCGTATTTAAATCATCGTCACCTGCGGCGCAGCACATAGCCTCGAAACGAAACACCTCCTTCAGCCCAGTGATCCATGTCATCATCACCCGAGGGGAAACATCTAGGTCATTAGCTTCCGCTTGGTACAGAGGCTCGCTCGTCAACAATCTCTGTGACAGGTCTCACACTCATCGCATCACTCTACGATCCAATGATACATGTGTATGTATTCTTCGCGAAGCCACCGCCAGGAGTCAGATTGAAGGTGTAAAATTGGATGGGGTATAATTCAGCAGACTAAGTTCCATCATTTACACCAGAGAGATCTGGGTGTCGTGCATGAACAAACAGAAACCGCACACCCGTCCGGTCCTGGGGAACCTTGGGTAGAGGATGGTATGGTACAGCGTCTGGAGCTTTGGTTAAAAGCGAAGTTACCCATGTGATATATTTACCTGGCACTGCTTAGTAGCCTATTCTGTCTTTGAGGAATGATAGGAAAAGAAGTGCTAAATGCAAGGCCAACCAGCCACTTGGCCCCTGAGGACAGGTAGATGCTCACAATTGATACCACACTCCACGACTACGATAGAACTACAGCTACAATGAAAAACCAGTATGTTTCCCTTGGAATGGAAAGTTGTACGGTGACAAGGTCCTATCTGTCCACGCATTCCCAGACATACGCCCGTCTCCAAGAATCTCACGATATCTGAAGCATTGCAGCATCATTGTCCCGAGGATATGTAAACCGTCTGCTACAAGGCCCGACCATGAGTCGTGCCACTATCACTTCCTCAAAGCTTCCCAGAGGAATTGACAAATCAACGAGAGGCCTATCGACACTCCCCTCGATGCACCGTGACCTATCCAGCTACACAGTGCCAGACATCGCCTCATTTAACCCCATGTCCAACTCAAACCACCTCGACCGATACACTGCAGCGTACATAGTCACATCGTCCCCCCTCAATTCAACGTCAAGACTGTTGTGCGCACGTTGGGTTTACCTGGTCTATGGTACGCGCACTACCAAATGCGAATGGCAGCCCAGGTTGCCAACCCTCCCCTGTATTAACTAAGGCACGACTATAACACACTACAAAACGTTAAGTGGATATAATATAGGCAGGCGTAGTATCTATAGAAAAAAGCAAAACGACGTGTGGATCGGCCGTTTTATGACCGCAACAGGATTCACGGCGCAGCTGTCAGTGTCGGGCGAAACGCCCGGGAGGGGAAGTGAAAGCCGTGCTCGATCCACGGGACAAGACGCATCGGTCCCCAACCTCCCCAAGAGCCTCATGCTCATGTAATTGAGATTGGGAATAGTTGGGATGTGCGACAACAGTGTTGTGCATCTGATGTGTGCTCAGTGGGAAATTACCGTGGTTGGCCTTGGAGGGGACATCCGAGTTCCAAGGTTCTTCCGAGCTCCGAAAGCGATCGCGAACTGGAGGCCAGAGTGGAGGCCAGGGCGATGGAAACCGCATCGTCGACATCCCGCGCATCGGTTAACAGCCGGATATGTGATGGATGGACAGACAGACTGCAGTTCTTCAAACGACTAGGGGCCAGTGGGGGGGTCGTGTCCATCCCTTCCCGAAGCAGCGCTATTAGTCGCACACATAAGGGAAGCTCCCGCAGCAACAGTAACAGTTGCGCCCTCAGTACTACGCCCCAAGCCTATAACACATCCTCTATTATAACAGGGCGGTGAGACTGACAGACGACTGCACACGCACAGCAAACAGCCAGACGTCATATTCTTAGTCGTATTATAACCTGAGATAATTTTCGGCTGGCCTGCCATCGTACTAGGGCGATAGTCTAGTGTACTTTCCCCCACGAACGAACCCACTTACAGATGCATGTGAAGCTTATCAAGGTCGTTGGCACGCCAGCCCTCCCTTCTCCGCTCGGCAGACGGATATCATCCAGGCCGGATCTATGTATCCTACGCTACGTAGCAAGGAAAATGAACTGATGCTGAAGATTGAGCCCAGCCTCCTCATCCTCCTCCCTGCCCCAGCGTGCTCACGATTCATGACAACTGCAGTCTTTCCAAGGTTTGGGATACGCACTAGGCACCAGTTGAGCAAGTGCAGGCGACATACATCTCCCAAGCACTTGCACAGTGGACCCTAAGCCCTGGCGATCCCAATGGCGTGCCACTCAAAATACCGTCGCCTTTTGCCTCTCGCATTCATCCGGTTGCCACGCCGGGCACCGAAGCTAAAAGTGAGGCTACGGCATATTATGATACCGACAATACAGCCGAGCGAGTGGTGAGGCTCGGTAACAGCAGCCGATCGAATAACAGGGGACCCAGAAAGTCGGTAGCCCGGAGCCCGGAGCTTTTCTTTAGCTGGGCGGATCAACCGGCTGGGTCACGGATCATTCCAAAATCTGGGACACCAAAATCACCTCATACCTAGCAGCAACCCTAGATAGTGAAAACACCAGACAAGTCAAGTCAAGATCTTCCAACGGGTCTGGGCATTTTTTTTCGCCTCAGACGGACTGTCTGCACTGGTCGTGAAGGCCGGCGATCAATCCTGCCATAACGCTGTGTGCACCACCAGTATCCCCATGTGATTGACGGCCTTAGCACAGCATCTCGCGACAGCCCGTCCCTCCTTCCACCCTTTGCACTGCCACGTTTTCCCGAATGATAAAAGGGTCTAGACTCCCCTCACCAGAGGAAGAAAAGACTGAAGAAGCCAAGGCCGGCGGACCCAGCGACCAGTTCGCCGTTATCTGGCATGTGGGGTCGCAGATCCAACCACCATTCCCCTCCTAGTCTCGGGTCGCCGTGTGGCGGGCGAAGAAACAGAGAGAGAGAGAAAGATCCGCCAACTGTTGAAACCGCCATCGATCGCCTAACGACAAAAACCCTCTAGAGGATGAGCCGCCCCTCCCGCCAGAAGGGCGAGGGAAGAAAGAGTTGACCCGCTAGAGAATCCAGGCGTCTGGACCCTTGATAAACGGCGTCCGCTATGACAGTTCGCTAGTCTCGGGGCTGGGTGGGAAGGAGGGGGGAAGGGAATGCCCTCCCCTCCCACTCCAACCCTCCGACCCCTCCCTCTCCCTTGCTTGAGACTCTAGCCTCGGGCACTGTATGCTCTAAAGCTGCCTAGCTCCGGAGGCGGGTGACGAGCACCAGCCCGTGATTTGTCTTCCTCGGCCGCGACGTCCTATGGCGTGTTCGAGAAGTCGGCACCGGCGATGCGTACTGTGTGTGAGCATTGTGTGCTATGCGTGCGTGCATGCGTGCGTGCGTGCGTGAGTGAATGTTTGTAAGGCTGATGCTGGTGAGGAAGCGACTTCTTTGAAACTGCAATGGTAGAGCAATGGTCTCGAAGAACTGAGGGTCCATGTGCGATGTGTTATGAACACATGCCCGCCCTCACGATGTCTGCGGCTGTATCCTATCCACCCCAGACAATCCAGGGCAATGACCCCGATGCCTTTTGGTCGGGACCATTCGTGCCAATCCTTTAGCCGTACATTCCGGAGAGCCGCTGGATCATCGGATAGCGCCCGTCACGAACATGGCAGCTAGCAGAGACAACATGACGAAAACCAGCCAAGAATAGCAGACACAAATACATGCCGGACCGTAGTGCCTCACGAACGATATCCTCGTCATGCCGACGTAGACATGATGATAACCTCTGCGGATCAGTCCTGACAATCGTTCGGCCCCCTCGTGCCAGAGACACGCCTTAACCCCATCCAGCGGCCAGAAATGTTAAGAAAAGGTCAAGTGCTCCGGTCCGATATCACACGGGCATCCCGGGGGCCAAAACCCACGTGACAAGCCCAAGCAAGCCCAGCGCATTGCTGTCTATACGTTGTAAGGGCCTCCCCAAGACAGCTTGACAAATCGAACAAGCTCATCGCAGAGTGTTCCGACTCGCCGGCGCAGGGCATGCATGAACTGGCCCGCCCTAAATAGCGATGGGACGACGCAAAGGGAAAAGAAAAAGAGGGTGGCCTATCCTCAAACTCCAACCCTTGGCGACGGGTGCTGCTGGAGCCGGCAGCTCGACCCATGGGAGCTGCGGTGATGGCTGTGTGGAGGAGGCAGGCCCTCCGGGACCCGTCCAAGAGGAAAGTATGTGGAGGCATATGCATGCATGCAGGAGAGAGAAAAAGGGACAAACCGGTCACGATGGTGTGGTGGGTAGTTGATTTGCAATTTGCATTTGTGCATTGAGCACGGGGCCACTCTGATGCTATCCCCTCCACCGGTATGCCATTCTCAGCGGACAGCGAAGAGCAAAGGTTACGGAGTAACAGCCAAGCCTCGCAGCGCGGCCGTGCTGCGATTGCATGCAGGTAGTTGAACGGCTCCGGACGAGGGACGAGCCTCAAGCATGCTTCCGCATGCAACCACACGACCTCCATTTGCCGACATGTGCGTGTGTGTGCGCGTTGAGGTGAGCTGTCATTGATTGATTAGCCTCTGTCCCATATAGACGCAAGACGTTCCACAAGCAGGTGGCGAAGATAGCTATTGGCGATGGACTCTGAATAGCCGGCCATACAGGTACACAGTAGTATGTAGGTACTTTAGGAACCAAAGATCATCACTGGGCGTCGTCGCATGAGTCGCAGGACTGGGGTTGATACTGTATACAACGAGCGCAACGGCCAGCGGATGAGGGGCAAAGGCCATGAGGGGCAGGGCCAGGCGTCGGACGTATATGACGTTAACATCCGGACTGCGAGCACAACACCACCACCAGTAGGTAGACAGGACGGCCACCAGGGTCCTCGTCGGACAGCAGGGTCGCCCCACCAAGGACGAGCCGGAATGTCGACGTTGCCGGGTTGATGATGCCCTCCTGGCAGCCATGCAGGTGTGGGTGGTGTGGGCACAGGAGCGGCCGTGCGCCGGCGAGGGTTGTCTGGTTCGAAACAGGTACGGTATGATCTTTCATGCAGCAGATCGGGCTGGGGGTGTGATTTGGAGTCGCACAGTGTGGGAAGAAGAGAAGGAGTATTAAGTGAAGCATAGAAACCAGCCGTTTCGAGGGCCACGATGATTCTTGTCGTCGTCGCTGCCGTCCCGTTGGGGTGCGTTGTCGTGCGCGATACAGGCCGGTCCCAGTCCTCCACATGGCCCGAGTGAGAATCATGGTCGCGACCAGCAACGCCAGCCTTACGGACTGGGGACGCTTGAGCAGTGGCAGCACACCACCACGGTCAAGTTGAAACACCACGTCGCTGCGAAACATGCGTCTGCTGCGTGCCTTAGCAAGCAGAAGCATGCATGCGGTTCTTGCTCGCAAGGCACCGCCAGGGGAAATCACATGGCTCTCAGATGTCGCGGTTGCCATGTAGCCATCCGTCTATACATCGCGCCTGTTGTCGCTTACCCATGTAAGCCCAGCGCAGTTATGCGCCGTTATGCGCCGTGAGTCAGTCAGTCCCAGACAAACAAACACCACTAGCAGTCGGTGCCGTCTTTGCCGGCGACGGCCCCTCAGATGTCTGTTTATATCCTGCAGGCAGTGTATCTTGACAGCAGCTCCGATTGCCCATGCAATCAGAATTCCAGACGCAACATCTCGGCCAGCTCGCCGACTCTGACACATGAAATAGGATTTGGCATGGCCAACGGCCACTACCAGACTTTCTAGAAAGCTTCCATGATCGACCGCAACAAGAGGTTTCAGAGCCTCAACTTTGGACCGGGAGGCCATAGACATCTGAAAATGCATCCTGTGGCAGGGAAGGCAGCTTGGGCAGCTGGCAGGGGGTGGTGGTGTCAGGTAGATTAGGCCTGCCAAGAATAGCTATTGTATAGAGTTCAAACTTTCAGAAGGCATAGGCCGAAGATCGCGAAACTCTGTCCATCAATCTGTCGGCACGTGGAGGGGCGAGGAGAGCTATTGCGATTGGGTTTGGAGGGCGGGTTGGGGTATTTGGGGTGGACGGGGACCGCGATGGTGCATGAGACAAGACAATCATCAGCCGAAATCGAGATTTCCCCAAGTGCAAGAAGTTCAGCATAGCTTGCCCCCAGTAGGGCCGGGCCCTATCATCACCAATCTGCGGGGGCTTGAGCATGTGCTGGCTGCGAGTACTTGGAGTGGTTGGGCAGAGCAGCGAACTGTAGAAACCGCCCAAAGGCACTGACCGGAATCGCACGTGCATGAACAACAAGCAGAAAGAGTCGACCGGGCAAAGAATGAATTGGACAATGGAGCCCACCGCGCGCTTCGGTGACATCGTGCCGGGCGAGCACTCCCGACTCCGCCCATGGCCCCGAGCCCAGCCCGCCGGAAGAGGCAGGTCTCGGGGGTTCACAGGCCAGTAGTTCGGTCCATCACTTTCTTGGGGTCCGTCCACGCTCAATCACCACCACCGCACCTGGGTCGGTAGACTGGAGACGAGATTGATATTGATTGCATGCACACCGACCCAAGGCGCGGGCCCAATTTCGCCCCTCTTTGAAAGGTGCCCACGTGCAGCCCCAATGGTTCATGACGACTCATGACATGGAGGCGGGGCACCGCAACATCGCGTTGTTGAAGCCCATATATAGATCGACAGTGTCTCAGATATGGGCAAATTGGCTATTGATAGAGGGTCAGGCCGCCGCAGTCGTATTCCACCCTGGTGATATCACAAGGGCGGAGGTCAAGCTCAGTTCAGCAGCCTCGTCGCCGTCTTCACTGCGACCTCGGGTGCCAAGGCAAAGCTGAAGGCCGGCTGATCAAGGACGAGATAATAAAGCGCGTCTGCAGTTCTGTCGTCCAACAAGTGCACTCGTTCATCCCAAGACGCACACGCACACATTCGTTCTAAGGCGCGGTCGTTGTCAAACCCTCGCGCCCCCTCATTGTTCCCCGAAACAGCCGCCAGAGTCTCGAAACAATCATGGCAGCATCCCTGAGGACAGCAGCCGCAGCAGCGGGCCTGCTCCTCGCCAAGACTGTCACCGCACAGTCAACAACGCCCACGGCCGGGGACCTATCCGTCCTGACTATGAATGTCGCAGGCCTGCCGCAGTTTCTGCAAAACAACGAGGTGCCAGGGGACAAGACGACAAACTCCAAGCTGATCGGCAGCTACTTTTCCCAGAATGGTTTCGATGTCATCCACGTGCAGGAGGACTTCAATTACCACGCGGCCGTCTACGAGACGGACAACCACCCGTACCGGACCGCGACCTCGGGCGGTGTCCCGTTTGGCTCCGGGCTTAACACCCTGGCCAACTACCCTTGGGTAGACTTCACGCGCACCAAGTGGGACACGTGCAGCAACACCGACAGCGATGACTGCCTGACGCCCAAGGGCTTCACCTTCATGCGCGTGCAGATCGCCGCGGCAACAGACAACTCCACTGCCGTCTACGCTGACTTCTACAACCTGCACGCCGACGCCGGCACTACCGACGCCGACGAGAAGGCCCGCAACTCCAACATCAACCAGGTGCTGAGCTTCGCCGAGGCAAACTCGGCCGGCAACGCCGTCGTCATCTTTGGCGACACCAACTCACGCTACAGCCGCGTCCTGGACACGGCGGTGCGCACGTTGCTCGACTCCAACTTCACCGACGCCTGGGTGCAGCACGAGCGCGATGGCGTTGCGCCAACCCAGGAGACACTGTGCGTGAACCCACAGCCCTCCAACAACAACACCTGCGAGACGGTCGACAAGATCTTTTACCGATCCTCGCCCCTCGTCACCCTGGACGCCACCAGCTTCATGTACGTCGGCGAGTGGTTCCTGCAGCCCAACGGGAGCATCCTGTCGGACCACAACCCCGTCAATGTCAACTTCACCTGGACCGCGGGCACTAGCCTGCGGCAGTCCGCCTACTGGGGAGGGCCGCACGGCACTTGGTTCAGCGACGTCGGCGCGCTGGCCTCCATCTCCAAGCCCGTCGTGTCAAAGCTCACCTTCCGCGGTGCCAACAGGCTCGATAGCGTCGGCGTGACGCTAAGCAGCGGCGCCAACCTGACCCATGGCGGGACAGGCGGCACTGAGGCGTCCCTTGCGCTGGGATCAGGAGAGTCCTGGACCAAGGCGACCCTGTGCCAAGGCCTGTACAACAACCAGACGCGCAACTTCTATATCGAGGCGACGACCAGCACGGGGAAGACGGTCAGCGCCGGCAAGAAGACAAGTGACTGCGCCGAATTCACAGCACCAGACGGCTGGAGCATCGTGGGTTTCCTGGGCCAGTCCGGGGACGAGTTGGACCAATTGGCCTTTGTGTACGCGCCACACTCTTAGCCCGTCCAGGACTATTTGTGCCATCGGCCGCAGAGGTTACCTGAAAGCATCAGGGTTCATATTAGCACCATGTACATAGTTAGGATACCACGAATAGCACATGCATATACCAGAAAGCATATCAAGCATCTCTCGGTCTTCGCGAAACTCTAGAGGCGGTTCTGAATGTCACATCAAGTGTGTGGTGGGATGCATTCCCCACTGGACCTGCGTGATCGCCGGTGTCTGGCGGGGTTTAACAGAAACCACTTTGCGACGGGGGCTGCTCGGCGCTAGACCGTGTCTAGAATAGGCCAATGTATCGAAACAAAACTTGATAGAGCACAGCTCGTCCAAACATGGTGGTGAGTGCTGTAGATCAAGCTGCTGAGTTGCTAGGTCTGGCTCCTGCCTCCTGCATGTGCTTGCCACATGCGTGGGCCAAATTCAGCGTTGGGCGTTGGGCGTTGGGCTTTGAGCTTTGAGCAGCAGCGGCTGAAGATGGAGTCACAGTAGCTGTCAGGTCTACCGCGAGGCTGACTGACGTTGGGTGGCGGATTAGCGGCCAGCCTTGCAGAACTAGATTGGCTGTGCGGCTGTTGCATTTCCACGGATGCTCGTGATACACAGTATAAGTCGTGCTGTCTTGGGGCGTTGAGCTGGCTTGCGCCTGCCGTCATGACACGGCCCGGGAAGCTGTGCATCACTAGAGTCAGAAAAATCTGGGTGTATAGATGCCAAGCAAGTTCGGCCGTAGTAACCGATCTGACGGGCCACCAGAAGCTTCTTTGTGTCGCTGCGTCCTACCAACAGGCCGTTGGCTAGTGAGCATAGCATTGACCACCAGAGCGTGAAAACGTGGAAGGAGTTTGACAGGTGGGGGCACCCAGCAACAGTAGCTTGGCACTGTCAGACGCTGTGACGAAAGCGTTTCGTAGGCTCCGTCCTCGCCAATCGCCGGAGAAACATAGACTTGGGATGGAAAGAAGCTAGAAGAAAACTTGTCGTCCCATCTACGTGGTAGACTAAGAGATCGCAGGCCCAGACCTAGCGGTAGCCGTCTACCGAGGAGATACTGCGTTGGACAAGATTCAGGAACAAAGAACTGAGCGGTTGAAGAATAACGCTAACTCAAGGCTCGACCAAGGCTGGCGAGACCCAGGGCGTCGGGTCAACCTAGGAGAAGCCGGCGTCGAAGCGTGAAAAGTTCGATGCTTTGCTCGCATTGATCCATTGTGGCGATGTGAAAGATGACATGTGTCGTGACGTGCTGAGCGAACCCAGCAGTCTGGGATGACTTAGCGTTGGGCGCAACGAGAGAGCAGCCGCACCTGGCTGCACAGTATGATGCCCAAATCAGACAGATTCCTTGATGGCCAATGTCGGCAAGCTTTCGGGCTCCCTGTGGACAAAGGCGACGGCCATCTGCTGTGACGCCGTTGGCAGCACTTGCTTCGACGAGGATGGTCGCTGACCAGCCAGCGCCGAGGGTCCTGGAGAAGCCTGGTCGAGACGTCGCTTAGCATCAAGGCCTGACCCAGCTTCATCATACCTCGCACTACATGCTAAGCGACCAGCGCGGCTTCCGCAGCGACCGTCGCAACTGTCTGAACCTTGCCCGAGACGATGGGATCCTGGTCGCTGGTTGCAGAAAGGCAGTCCGCTCAATAGCATTCAATACAATGCACACAGCCTGCAGCGGCAACACCAACAAAGTTCCTGAGGCCGGCATATCATGATAGCAGAATCGTCGCGGCAAGAGCTCCAGCGATGGTATGATTCCATGTCAGAGAAAGATCAAACTCTGGGCTGTCGATCTGTGCGCAGGCTTGGCACAGCGGGTCAACGACCAGATGTGAGGTCAATTCAAAAGCCAATCAAGACACGGCCACCCTCTGGCCAGGGCCGCTACAGCGGGGTGCGTTGGATCGACTGAAGGAATTGGCCATTCAGCATTGGGCAACAGAATCGATGAGATCAGCCAGCCCTTTTGGACGACGTCAGATGAAACCAGGCGCTGCAATCATGGGAAGCAAGTAGATACTGTGCAGAGGATTTGCGGCCTTCCTGGACCCTGCGCTGCGGTGCAGCGCGGCAATCTGTCAAGCGCCCGAATGCGACTGTGAAACTTTCCCGAGACGTAGATGCCGTTGCGCGGGTGATGTCCGCGGCTGGAGGCTATCGACGAAACGAGTGTTGTGGGGTTGGCGACACTTCCTTCAGGGCAGCTGTACGTCCCGTCCACCGGACTGTGGGGCGGTCATGGACAAGCGATAATGACAGGTCGCCCAGATAATTACGGCACGCCCGAGAGTCTGGGTTAACGTTGTGTCGCCGAAACAGGAACGGCCGGAGTACTGTAATGTTCGGGACGGCACAGTGATGTATTGTCCTGGTCCAACACTGTTGGAAAGAGCGGCGCCAGCGCGGCGCCAGCCCGTCGACTGGAGCCGAGGTGGGAGAATTCGCCGGTGACCTTCATTTCGCAGCCGTGCGCTCGACGCACTAATGAAATAACAGTGTGCTGCCTAGCAAGGCCGGGCCTGGCAGTTTCGCCGAGAAATCTCCCAAAGAACTGAGCTCCGTGATGCTACGAGTGAGCGGAAGGGTTTTGTCAAGTTAGGCTTATTTGTGCCAGCAGACGGGCAACCGAAAGATCCTGCGTATTCCGAGACGTGGGGCCTGGGGGGCATGGTTGGGTGCCTGGATGCCTGCAGAAGAGCCCATCGAGCTATTGACTTTGTGCTTTTCGATCCGTGCTCCAAGACTGTGGACACGAGGGACGTACATCCGACACCACGACCATGGTCCCTGGCCCATCGAGAGAGGACTTGTACTGACTGGGTGGCGGGGAGTGTTGTTGTACGTGGGAGAAATGCGAGACGGAGGAGCTGCGTCATTTTTGCTCGTTCAGGCGACCCAAACGTCGAGCCGTGCCGCCGTGCCGCCGTACTGCAGGGGCAGAAGGATGCGGCCACATTGAGCTCCGCGTTCCATGCATGTGATCGTGATTCCGGGCTGGGCTGGGTCGAATCTGGATGTCGGGAATGACGCCGGACACGGGTCGACGTTATTGTCAATCCAGCGGGCAGGACACGGCAGGGTCGAGATGAAGCGGCCTTCAGGGTCCAATATCTGCGCTGCACTGCAATGCACTCCGCTCTGTTCTGGCGGTTTTGGGGCAGCTGAGATGGCATTTGCAGAGGGCAGCCTGCATAGTCTGCAGGCGATGCAGCCAAGCACAGCACGCAAGCACGCATGGGGCTTGCGCAGAGGTGAGGATTGAATAATGGCGGACAGTGTGAGTTTATTTCGTCGTAGACTGACAGACTGACAAGCATAAGTGCCTACCTGATCAGCAGGCGGGTGCGGCAGCTTTGCAACTTTGTTGGGTGCGATCGTCGAAGGAGGAGCCTGGGCATCAGGATTTCTGCCCACCGAGTCTCTGTCCGCCCTGTCGATCATGCCCGCCTAGCTAGCTCGCTCGGCGGTGGCGGCTGCAGGAGCAGAAGCAGGAGCAGGAGCAGAAGGAGCAGAAGCAAAGCAATGCTTTCCTGACCGTTCTGACCGTTGCAGACTCACTTCAGCTCGACAGGAGGAAGTCGCACCCGATACCTACGTAGTTGCTGTGTATGCAGTGTAGGAAAGGGAAGCCGCGACATTGAGAGCGTAACACATGTACGTACCTCAGTACGTACTCTATTGTACAGGCCAGGCGTGATTAGCGCTGCGCTAGAGCATCTGGCCGGCCGAACCTCCGATGTGGGATGTGGGGTTCCTGCCTGTCATGTCCATGTTCCCCGTCACTGACTGGAAGCTTGAAAGCCCCACGAGGGTGATGATGATTTGAATAATCGGTTGACTGGTTGAGTGAGTGCATCAATTGGGTCCAATCTCGCCTTGATTATCCAGGGCCAGTCAAGCTGATGCCACGTCTTGCTCATTGACCGCGACAGCACAACATTGCAGCTTGTACAGCGAGAATTGATCGAGCCCTGACACGAACGACGGCAGCTTTTCGTCAGCTTCAGTCCATCCCAAACCCACACCCGCAGCAATCTTGCCGCCAAGTCGAACCAAGGAACGTGAAGAACGAGGCACCGGCTGCAGAACAAACCGCAGACAGACTGCAGCAGGTGCATGACGGCGGGGCTGCATGCTGCACTCTGCATAGCCCCCAGTCTCTCTCCCCAGTTGTCCCAACTCTCCAGCATACGCTACAGAATCCAGAACAGCTAGCTCGTTCGGAACGCGGGAGCAGCTGCAGGCAGGGCGGGTAGCCAGTCCTGATTGCATCAAGCACGCTGCAGGCCACCAACGAACCGAACCACTGGCGAACTGCGTCACAATCTAGTTGCCTTCCGCCCATCCATCGCTTCGGCAGGTGAGCCCGACGATATCAACATTCTGACCACCACCACTATCACCGCCCTGCTGCTGGCTGCTCGATGCCCCTCGGAGGCAGAGGTGCCTTGCTTCGTCTGGCCCATGCACACACACACACACACACACACACACACACACACACACACACACACACACCACGAGACATCCCGTGCCATGCATCCACCACATTGGCACACCACCACTCACCCAACGGCCCGTCTTTTTTTCTTTCTTTTCATCTCTGTGTTCTCCATCACCAGCAGCCGGCATGAAGCAGTCAGTAGCCAACAGCCAGCAGATTCTCCGGACAAGAATAAGAGGCGTCCTGCAGCTCGCGACCAGAGCGTTGGATGTCACCCAGTGCGACAGGCGGCCGGGGAGCAGCCCATAGCAGAGCGACATGGCATCACAGGGCATGGTGGGGCATGGATCTAGACCCAACCGACGCACTAGTCCAGCAGTCAGTCAGTCTGGCAGTCCAGTCAGGCCAGCCCGTTGTGGGCGGGTCACCCAGGACAGAGCAGAGCTGCACGCCGGCACTAGGGACGGCTTCCGGCCCTCCGCGGTCCAACGCTGTGGGAGCGACGGAGCACGCTCAGGTCTCGTGTGGGCGAGGTCTCGGCGGGGCCACGGAT